TGTCTCTTGGGCCGTCTCCGCCCACATCAAGACCTCCGCCAATCACGTCTCTTGGGCCGTCTCCGCCCACATCAAGACCTCCGCCAATCACGTCTCTTGGGCCGTCTCCGCCCACATCAAGACCTCCGCCAAGACCTCCGCCAATCACGTCTCGCCCACTTCAAGACCTCCGCCAATCATGTCTCTTGGGCCGTCTCCGCCCACATCAAGACCTCCGACAATCACGTCTCTTGGGCCGTCTCCGCCCACATCAAGACCTCCGCCAATCACGTCTCTTGGGCCGTCTCCGCCCACATCAAGACCTCCGCCAATCACGTCTCTTGGGCCGTCTCCGCCCACATGAAACCTCCGCCAATCATGTCTCTTGGGCCGTCTCCGCCCACATCAAGACCTCCGCCAATCATGTCTCTTGGGCCGTCTCTGCCCACATCAAGACCTCCGCCAATCACGTCTCTTGGGCCGTCCCCGCCCACATGAAACCTCTGCCAATCATGTCTCTTGGGCCGTCTCCGCCCACATCGAAACCTCCGCCAATCATGTCTCTTGGGCCGTCTCCGCCCACAGGACAACATGTTCTGCAGAGACCCCCATCTCATTCCATCTGTTTCAGCCATTTTCTTCTGGTTCTGCCATGCCTGCTAGTGGTGGTCAGAGGGTCCGGTGGCGCCGGTGCATGGCAGCACTGCCTCTGTCAGTGTGCCCCAGGGCAGCTGTGGCTACAGTGTAGCTTACCACCATCAGTTTGAATGGGTGAATGACTGTTAGTGTAAACTGTGCTGGAGTCTGTAGGGACTTGAKAAGGTGCTATAGGTTYRTGCCATTTACTATTAACTGAACCARTGATGTCACCTGTTGCGTTATGCTCTTTGTGCGTTCTCCTCAAAGCAGAGCTGCATCACTGTTGTTTTCAGTAACACCTTGGGAGTACCAAAGTAATCCAGAATCACTTTCTTTGTATTGGTTTTGTTGAAAGTTTTCCCACAGTTGTAAATACTGAAAACTAGAAAATCAGCGAGTACTGCAGGTTCTACATAAAGAAACACAAACAGTCCAAAATTATCACCAATATGTTGGAATAAAGGTTGCTGTTTAGAACATTTTAAATCATTCTGAAGTATTTTTGAAAGCCTAACCAAAGCCCAAGTATAAAAAAGTAACAAAGTGTAACAGAACCTGAATTCTTTCATTCAGATTGATGTTTTTTGTCACGTGTGACAGTCTAATGCACAGCTGCTGTAACTGTTTTGAAATGATGTCGTTGCTCCAGAAGTCCCACCGCTCTAACCAATGGCACCGAGAAGAAGAAGAAAAAGAAGAAAAAGAAAAAGAGGAAGCAAGAGGCGCGTTCTCTGGAGACCCTGGCTAAACCACAACGGTCTACTGAGCTCCTGTCTCTGGTATGGATGAAGTGTGAAGGTTTTTTTTTTTTGTTTTTTTCTAACGTGTTTGTGAGTCTGAGCTGGGTGTGTTCAGTGATCTGAGAGGGATGGACGTTTTTACGTCACGTCTTTGTAGGTTTGAACACATGCAGCCATTCATGTTAAAAATCCYAAATCTTAACTGTAGAGGCTGAGAAAATGTTCATACTTTTTACTTTACTTTGACAGGAAACCAGAAAACCTCTCCCAGTGGAGTCTCATGCATTGGATCATTTCACTTCTGTCAAGTAAGTGAGAAAATAAAAACATGTTTGAAACTGTCAGGAGGTTTTTTTTTYCTTCTTCTTCTGCATTTAAATGTAAAYAACTGTACAAAATTCACTGTAATCTGTCAACATGCATGTGTATTGTGAGCAAGTTCAGTAGAGTTATTTAAAACCTACTGAGTGTTCAAATTAGTATTTTTAAATTTGAATGAGTGTGCTGCTGTGTCCTGGCTCCTATCAAATATGGACTAATTTTGGACCCACCCAGGACAAACAGAAGACCCTTCAGTTGCTCAGACCACATCCTGAGGTAGACAGGGACACTTGTYGCTGTGGAGACATCAGAGTAAAGAGTCTCCTGATGAGACTCGATACAGATTTCATTACAACCTTTCTTTGTGACTCTTGGAAAAATGTGTGTTCTCTTTAAAAGCAACAAAGAGTAATTACTTAAATAAGTAATTGCATCTTATGTTACCGCTCAAAATTTATTTGTGATCAAACTTGCAGCGGGTAAAATAAGTATTGAACACGTCACCATTTTTCTCAGTAAATATTTTACTAGAGGTGCTAATGACATGAAATTTTCAC